ATAATTTTATTTTTCATTAATTATATCTAATTTAAATTATAAATAGCTTTATTGTGATAAGCATACTCTCATAAACACAATCTAACAACATTATCAAATTAATATTCTATTTTTATTATATTTTCACAAATTTAGCTATTTTCTTTATCAATTCTTATTACCTAATTATAATTTTATTTTTCATTAATTATATCTAATTTAAATTATAAATAACTTTATTATGATAAGCATACTCTCATAAACACAATCTAACAACATTATTAAATTAATATTCTATCCTATCAATATTCGATCCTATTATGAAATCAATATTCTAACAAAATTATACATAAAATCTTGTCCCAAAGAATTAATAAATTAATATTCTATCCTATCTATATTCGATCCTATTATGAAATCAATATTCTAACAAAATTATACATAAAATCTTGTCCCAAAGAATTATCCCTAATCTACTTTCCTCTCTCCAAAAATCAACATTTAAAATAAAAACAAAACCGACTATCAACAATAATGCACAACCCTTAACACAATATATATATACTAATAAACAATTATCAATTAATACACGCGTAATTTTTACCAATCCCAGAATTCAGAAAAGGTATCAAATCCTATCTCGTATCGTATCTCATAAAACTCTTGCTACTTTTCCACGCGATATTACTGCAGCACAAGTAATCAAAGTCAACAACAAAGCAGACTGCAGTGATTTTTCCGACACGAGCGTGTATTAACTTAATTACGCCATAACCGACCGGTGAACTAATCCAAAACTATTGAGCACAAGAAGTTAACTAATTGCTTAATTAACGAGGAGTCTAACACGAAAGTTTCACCTTCCAGATAACTCCATTTCGAGCTACGAAAGGTACTTGGGCGGGACGCAGGTGCCTCATAGTCGATTAAAGTCAGATTCCGCTGTAGACGATAAGTCACAGAAACAAAGCAGCCAAATTGCCAAAGAACTTTCGGACCTGGTGATTTACCTGCAAGCAATTAAATTTCGAGGGCTGAACACGACGCCGGGTACGACCACCACCGGTAAGACACGCCATCAACCGCACACTGGGCCGGTCCAGAGGCACAGCATCGCTGGCATAGGAGCCACCAGCATCGGTGCCTCTTCCGGATCGCCGCAGTCCCTGTCGACCTCAGCCTCGCTCGCAAGTGGCGGCAGCAATATTGAAAATCTCTTCAGGTTAGCTTTTAAATTAGTCGATAGAAACGTCGAACCTATCACGACCGATTAAATCGAAAAATTTGAATGAAAGAATAAAAGGAGAATCTTTAAAAAAATTTAACAGGAAATATTGAAAAATCGATCGTGTGAATGCTAAAAGACACGTAGCCATGCAAAAATCACGTAGTCGAGTGATCAAAGCGATAATATTGAATTTGAAACTTTAAATCAAAGGCTTAAAAATAGTCATTTAGTTTGTGGCAGGTTTAGTGATAATATAATTACAGGTAACCCTCCTATAACACGGTAAATAGGTTCCTAAAAAATGCCGTGTTGTATGAGACCCTATGTACAAAAATGGTTACGTTCTGAAAACTTACTAAAAACAAATTTTTTTTTAAAGTCTACATAAACGACTTAATTTTTATTAAAGATATAAATGTATATACAACACAAAACAAGAAAAAGACAAATATTTTAATTTAATGCAATTTTAATTTAATAAATTTCTTCGTCGTCACTGCTCATGTAGAAGTACAGTGTTGTACAAAGGTTTTTACAATTTTCTTATTGTGGTAGAATGAAATCGTGTTATAGGATGCCGTGTTGTAGGAGGGTTCCCGCAATTTATGAATCGTGTTATAGGATGCCGTGTTGTAGGAGGGCTATCTGTGTATATTATTATATAATAATTATATACTCACTCTCGCGAGTTATCGTTATGGAATCACTATATTAACGTGAAGTTTGAATTGAGGATACTTTGTTTATTATAATTGTGCGAGAAATTTTGAAGAATATATTTTATTGAGTTATCGTTGAATAAACTAGAATGAAAATTGAACAGAATTTAATGTTTAAATTCATTATATGGAAATTGAATATTCCATAGGAAACTTTGGAGAATATTATATTTAATAAATTAGGGATATTTTATTATATTATGATGGAATATATGTGGAATATTATATTTTATCGAGTTATCGTTAAATAAATTATAGTGTTTGAATAAAATTGGATATTTAAATTAATTATATGGAAATTGAATGTTCCAAAAAATATTATGTTTAATAAATGAATAAATGAATAGGTGAATATTTTATTTAATTATATGGAAATTAAATGTTTTATAGCAAGCTTCGAAAAGTATTATATTTTATCGAATTGTCATCAGAAAAATAACGAGCAAAATTTAAATTAGGAATATTTTATTTAATTACGTAAAAAAGTTTAGAAAATTATTCAATTTTATTAAATTATCATCAAATGAATCACCACTAAAATTTAAATAAGTACATATTTAATTTAATCACATAAAAAGTACATATTTCAGAGGTTTAAAAAATTGATCAAAAATTAAATCTTACATTTTAATGAAATTTTTCGATTCTGTGTAAACGAGATATTACATATTCATATAACTTAAATTTTGTTTTATATGTACATATTAATCCAATTTATATTTTATTAATTTTCTTTTTATAATATTAATGTATAGAAACGTTCAAATATTGTTTGCAGTAGATGAGATATTTCACGAGCTCCGATGTTTATTAAAATATTTAAAACATGTATGTATATATGAATCCAAACTAGTTGAAGCAAGTCATAAAATGCACAAAATAAATTTGAATTTTAAATTTGCAAATATAATTTTTTAAAATGTATTTTTGTATAACGTGTTCTGCAAGTATTAATTTCAAAGCTATTATATTATACTTCGTCTGCCAATAGCTCGCAGTATAATATTAAAATATTTTTTCATGATTACTCTAACTACTTACTATAATTATAAAATTATTTTCAGTAAAACGTAAAGAATATATAAATAAGAAATTTCGGAATAAAATGTAAGAGAATATAAAAATACAGAATGTAAGAAATATAAAAATAAAAGGTTTATAAATAAACGTTATAAAATTATAAAATGTTTCAGATTCACTCGTGGAGTTCCAGCCTGCTTTCAGTGCTCTTCCTTAAATGAAAGTACAGCGAAGAAGATCTGCAGGAAACAACCCTTAGGGGTTGTTGCTCACGCAGAAACTCAACTGATACGGACGTACCCAGCCGGAATGCGTATTGATTCGACGAATTTCAACCCCGTAATCTTCTGGGCCTTTGGTATCCAGATGGTAGCACTAAATTACCAAACCGATGATGCTGGACTCAATCTAAACTCTGCTATGTTCGAGCAAAATGGACAATGTGGATACGTTAGGAAACCGTCAGTTATGTGGGACAAAGGACACATGATGTACAGGTATATATAAAAGTACCGTTTTTCTTTGTATAGAACCTTCTATTAACACTAGAACTACCGATCTTTAATGGGTACCTAACTATAACGTGCACAGATTATAGTAATTTCAGCGGTACGATGAATACGAGTGAATATATTGATTACAGTTCTTTCTTAATATGAGTTGATACCAATTTTATTCTTAAAGCAGGTGTATGTGTTCAATGATTGCAAAAAGGAAAATTCTGGGGCCAGTCATTTTGACTAGGTTGGTAGTTCTAGTGTTAATTAAAATCGTTATAATTTGAATATTTTACATTAACCTCAAAAATTCATAAGATTGGAACACTATTTCTTCCGAATTATTTAATAGTTGAAGAATTTTTTAAACAATTTAATTCTGAAGAATAATTATTAGAAAATAGATTGTTTAATTTAACTCTAACTTCTTACACATTACACTCTTGTGTAATTTTATGCAATTTATAAACAATTTTAAATAAATAAAATTATTACTGTTTAAAACGATATTTAATATTATTTATGTTAAATGGATTAAAATGGCGATGCATTTCTGACTTGAGATACATTTGAATGAAATATAAAATTGATTTCTAGGCGCTTCAATCCCTGGGACAAGGAATTCGATGGACTACATTCGGCACACCTGACGCTTTCAATAGTTTCCGGCCAGTATGTCTCCCCAACAAATTTCGTCGCCAGCACCTACGTCGAAGTTGAACTAGTCGGCATTCAGATCGATTGTGCCAAGCATAAAACAAAAGTAATACAGAACAATGCGCTGAATCCTATTTGGAATGAGAAATTTTGCTTCCAAGTAATGTTCAAGGACCTCGCCTTCCTGCGCTTTGGCATCGTCGAGGCAAGTTCCCATCACTTGATAGCCCAGAGAGTCATTCCACTGAAATGCTTGAGACCTGGCTATAGACACGTACGTCTGCGTTCCTGTAAAAACAAACCTTTGGCACTGTCTACGATCTTCCTGTATTCCCGTTTAGAAGAGGAGAGTCTTGACTATAACACGTGCTGTCGTGATCACAAAGAGTCATCAAAGCGTCCATCTTCGGGGAAAGAGCCAGAAAAATTGACCACCGTGGATCCTGGACTAGGCGGAGTGACACTGAAGAGAAGAATGTTCTTCCTGATGGTCTATCACGTGATACCTGACGAACCTTACACGATATTAAAAGTCACGCAAGAGAGCACGACCCATGAGGTGATGTTGCAAGCTCTTCAGAAAGCCGGGATATCTGCTGATCGCGTAGACGAGTACATCTTGGTCGAGGAAGTTTCTCGTGGTTGGGAGAAGAGAGACAGGGAAGAACTGCCGACTCAACGTGTACTGGATCCAACTGAACATCCGTTGCAAGCACAAGCTTTATGGAAAGGTCAGGGTCGCTTTCTGTTGAAGAGGGTGGGCGATGACCCTAGCAGCAGGGCCTGGTTAGCTTCCATCAGAAGTACAGCAGGTCACTCGAAGCTCGACTCTGAGAGAGACACGTCCACTCACATCTGGGACGAAGCTGACACCTTCTTAGTCTGCATTTACAACGTTTCACCTGACATACCTTACGCGATACTACGTGTTCCTGTGAGCAGTTCTGCCCAAGACGTCCTAGCCCAGGCTCTAGTGAAAGCCAGGAGGATGGAGGATCCGATGAAGTTTGCGTTAGTCGAAGAGCTCGAGTGGGGAGGAACTGGCGCTGTTGGCAGTGGCAGCCGTCAATTGAGAGTCTTGCGCGATGAAGAAAACGTATACAGTACTCAAGCCTTTTGGAAGACGCTCGGAAGATTCATTCTGAGGGAAGAGAACAAGCGATACCGAGGCGGCACCTGTTGCCAGCCACCTTGGATAGACTCAGCAAAGGCTTTTCCGTAGGAAGATCCGTCTCCTTGCCAGGTTCCAGTAAGGAGAAGGTACCTGTTTCAGAAGCACTTTCCGATCCGACTTCCAGAGGGCTCAGACATCGTCTACTGATGCACGGTCGCAGGAGGGAAGTTCACTCTGATGGCGAAGATACTCGTGAGTCTGATATCTTAAACGCGGCCCTTCACTTGAAAAAAGTGTCTTTAAGAAAATTAAGGGCTTGGAAGTCATAGTGGCAGTCAAGGGCGACATCGATTTCATCGATTTTCGCCACTCGGAGAAACCAACCGTAAGTTACGATAAATCATTGCATTCGAAGTAAAGGTGAACACGGGGTTAGCCTTCAATGGCAATGAAAAGAAACCTCAATGATCGTTCGTATCGTTCTGAAAAATTCCACCAGTAATCAACGTTATGATATACATAAACAAAGAGATGCCTAATTGTACTCAACACTGCTTAAATGTGCATAATCTGGGTCTTTAAACCGTTATTTGAAGATGAAACCGGTGTTAGTAAGAAAGAGAACCATCGGTTGAGACAGAGTTTGATTGGACGTAAAATTGTAAACACACATATTTGAGGTTAAACAGCTTCAAGAATGCAAACCAAGCTACGATACGTTCAAACAATCCTGTTAACGCATCTGCTCGCTATCCCAAATTTGTATGAACTCACTAACGATTTTATACGCATCCGCGTGTACTTATTTCATTTCTCATACATATCTATATATTTAATTCTTTTTCATTTAATCTCTAGAAGCAAATTTTATAACAGTAGTCGTTCTTAACAATTCTTAATTTTACTATTACCACACTTTTCTAGTCATATTAGTATTATATAAATGTACAAATTATAATCTTACCTAATGATCTCCAAGGAAATGAGTTCCTCCATGAGAATTTGAAGTTATGAAATTCAACGGTACCCAAAGAACTTCCAAGGAAATACACAGTAATAGTTTTAATTGCTAATTTCAGTTTGATTAGATTAATTCTTTTGGTTGTAAATTAATATAAATCTGTTTTTCCATATTTTTTTACACACATGTATATATTTTTTAATCTATACAATATATTTTAATACACCTGTATATTTATACTCAATGCATACACTATTAAAAAAGAAATTTGTGTACAATATAATAAAAATAGGCTTCACTAAATTTATTGAGAATCTAGAGGATTTTCATGACAAAATGCACTATTCATTTAATTTTATTTTGAAAATGAAGCCAGTCATCAATCTTGAAATGGACATAACTTACAGCGGGACCTGATTCATTTTTATAAGCATTGACTTGTCCTTCGAGTAATTAATGCTTGCACTTTAAGTACCTGAGTCATTTTTAGAAATTCTTTTATTCATAATAACCATCAATTATTATGAATATTTCAATCAATATGTAGTTATCATGCAGTCATAGATTTTTTCTGACTTATTTTACGTATCTCTGATAGTCAAAGAATGTTATTTCATCTATTATACACTCTGCACAAATTTTTATGCATTTCTCTTGTAAAATATAAGTTATGTAATTATACTGCATAACATAAATATGTATTCTTATGTGCCATATTTTAAAAGTAATCTTGTAACTCTTTTTATATACTTTTCATTTCTCCAAATATTTGTATTCTTTTTACATTGTTTTCTTTATTGTATACGAAAAAAGAATTCACTTGATGACAATAACAAATGATTTCCCTTTATAACCCTTTTTATTTAAAAACGAATGCCTTCTATGCAAAATAGACTGCATGATGTTCTTTCCTAAAATATGTATTGAAAGGAAATAAGGAGTATGAAACATGTTAAATGAATACAAAAAAATATTAGGAACATAAAGTATTAAATTTATTTCATCTACATAAAAACTTCACTTGCTAGAGAAGATTGGGCAAATTGATATGATTTTTAGGTTTTAATTTTCAATATTTTTTTTTATTCAAGTTAATTAGTTAATTACAAATTTGCTAAAATGTACTTTAGTTCTTTCTCTTTTGTAATCAAGTCAAAGTATTACCAATTTACTATAGTATGAAGTGAATTTGTACATTTGTGAAATACATTGATGTATTTCTTAATAACTGTTTTTATTAAGGCATGCTTAAGATATACTACTTTATTTCTACCAATATTAAAATTATAATATAATTTATTTTTTTGGAAGACATCATAGAAAATGAATATCAGTGATTTGATAAATTAAGTAGAAGCTTCTATTTTTTAATTTTGTTTCATTTTCATCATTTGCAAGTTCTCTCATGACATACAAAAATTGAAAATGAGATTATCATAACTTCAAATAATGTAACATGAAATCAAACTAATTAAGAGCATAATGTTTCACATAATATCTCCAGACAACTTCAAGAATTAACATAAACATTGTATCCAAAACAATATCTGTTGCGTGTATCAACCTGTCTCTCTATCAATTTACCCAAATCTGACCTCTGTACTTTCTATTTCTTCTATTGCTGATTCACCACCATGCACATACTTGATAAGATTCATCATATTAGTAAACGTGAATTAATGTTTTAATTTCTATGACACCCTCCATCTTATAGTAACTGAAGTAGCAACATAAAGTTACATAAAGTAAGAATATATGTCTAAGAATGGCAAATGTGACGTCTAGTCAAGCTCTATCATCGATGTATATCTAGAGATGCACTTCAAGTGAAATGTAACTAAATTATTTTATGAATACGACACTAAACTCGTCCACAATTAGACAAGCAGCATTCTAACAGAGGGATTCATTGTAGGGCAAAGTTCTCGAGATCGCGATGGAGTAAGTTAAAGTTATAAAGTAAATTACTTGTTACAGCTAGTATTTAATAAAAAAAAAAAATATGAAACAACAGTATTATTTCCATATTCCCATTGATTGCGATGAATCACGTTCAACGCAAAGATCATTCTAGTCTACAATGTACCGTGGAGATTCGTTTTAATTATTCGTTTATTACGAGGTCGCGATTCAGGCAATATATGTACATACTTACATTATCTTCTCGGTTATTATATCTAACCAAACATACGATCAGATTTTCTCTAACGAAACGAAAAATCTCGACGCGCGTGGAGTATTGCTACTCAGAAGTCATATTTATTATATATTGTTGATACTGAAAAAAGAAAGAGGAAAAGTAGATCGATGTTACTTTTACAATCATTGCCTCCCTAACCTTGAAATGTTAAGCGAATATTATCGTAGATTATAAATATGAGACCAAGGAGTGTCGATTCTTTTTTTACTTTTAAATATCGTTCCGATCGTTTAAACAGTGCACCACTCGGTTTCGATCTTTTCATCGGAACCTTTTGCCTAATTTTCACGGTATAATTCTACGTACAATAGGTGGAAGTAATTAGCGAAAAAGATAATATAAAATCTATCTACCACGGACCAGCGACGTCACGAATTAATGTTATCCTTTGTCTTCCATATTACTTATCCTAACGAATTTTATAGTTTCAACGAACCGTGACTGACAGTTTCAGAGTACTAACCACGTGATCTTCCCCTAACCTCTGATTCTAGAAGCGGCAAATATCAAATCTGTTAAAGGCTCATCGAGTGTTTTGGTTAAATTAAAATCACTATTAAAAGAAAATTACAAAAAGAAAGTAAAAATGATTAAAAATATATACAAAATTTTGTAATTCAATATGTTATGATCGAATAATGTGTTTGATCAGGATGCCGTTTCCGGAATTATATAAAAGTAACGTTTTTTGAAATAACTTCGTGGCGTTACTGTGCTCCTTAATATATTTTTGGACACCACTTCCTTCATCCATCTTTTACCCCTTTTCGAATATATCTAACAATATGTCCTGAAGCAAAGTAAAATTTAAATGCTAAATTAAGAGACAGAGGTTAATTAAACGTATTGCAACGAGACTTACTCGAAAGTAAAATTGACTTTTAATGGATTTTCTTTCAAATTTGGTAACAATAACGAGATTCTTGATCAATTTCGAGTACAAATTAAAAATGAAAATAATAAAGAAGTACATTTGTGCTAATTATGAAATAAACGAATTGTACATACAGTTATTAAAATGTTCACATCTAAAAACAGGTTATTTAAAATTTAAAAAGGTACTTACGTTTTTAACAGTTGAAATGAATGTTTTTAATATCTTTACTATGTCAAATTACTATGTTACCTTAGAAATGTCCATATTATTTTATTATTACCTACGTAAATTTAAATTAAATATTTACTTTGTATTCACTATTTAAAATTCAAGCATAAATCAAATTTGTATTTAAATTTTAATTTAAATTTATACTGAATCTTAAATCTAACTTTTATTTAAATTTTAATTTAAGTTTGGCTTGAAACTTAAATCAAAGTTTCATTTAAATTTAATTTTAAATGAAATTAAATCTTTATTTTTATTTTTGAATTATTTCATATAAATGTAATATTATTTACTTTTCTATTAGCATAGATGCTTCCCTATTAATTGTACATTTCTCGCCCCACTCTATATTAATTACATCAAAAATCGGTATAAATACCATATCGTAAAGCTTTTCTTACATTCTCTAACCAGATTTAACGCTTTTAACTCTCCATGACATATCTATATACAATATCGTGAACCTTTTGAGTACGTTACACAATATTTCTGCATTACGCAATAATCGTCAAAAATGAAAATTATCAGAAATTACTCTGAACTTGCATTACTCGATAAAACTTCTTAAAACGATTACCAATTTTTTGTTTTTCAAAATACACATAATCAAAACACAGAGGAAAACTCCAAATGCAACGTACCGTGTATATACGTGCATGACATGGACATCTTCGACGAGTATTTGTACGATATCCATGCATCTGTCAATTGAACGTGTTGTTTAACGTTACTTTCCATTGATTTTAATAGATAAAGCTTTTATCGAAGGGAATAGTATGCCATGAGTAACGTTTCGCGTTAAACGAAGCAAGACTTTTTACGAACACATCAAGGAAACCGCATTTACTACACCAGAGACAGTATTTACGTAGTGTACAGCAAGTATCGTGGAAGATTGTTGTATATAGATGGAAACAAGGGCTACTAATAACGATAATTAATTGTTGTAGTTAATTTCGATGCTCCTTGAGTCTCGGATAAAACCCCCGCATCGAGAAAATCATCGATTACAACGGACGTCTTTCGAATGGTAGAACAGAAATACTACAGCTATAGTTGTCGAACCAAGATGCTATTTGTTATTCAACTTTTCACAAGCATTCGCGTCGCTACGTACTTATACAAAATTCCTTAGATTAGCAACGTTAAATCTTCGCTAGTTGTCATAAACCTCGACGTTGAACAAGCTCGTTTAACCCTTTCGCTACGACGGAGTTGGCCGTACAGAGACAGCGACATACTGATCAGAGTATCACCACACGATATTCCAATGCAAAATATAGTCGCAGAATTATTCCTGCATAGCCCAATTTTCTACTTCAAGAGGATTCCTATTCCTTTACAATGCGAGGTTTAAAATTTTTATTCGTTATTCGGAATATGTGTTAAATTTGAAAACCAAATATTTTAACCAATTGTAGTGTTCATAGAGGTTAGGTTATTATGGATTTTGAATAAATTCGAAATTAAATATTTTGATTGAGTTACGTATACTTTTCTATCATTAATTTCGCAATAATTTAATTTTAGTTAATT